GAGTATGACAAGTGTGTCCTGAGAGTATGACAAGTGTGTCCTGAGAGTATGACAAGTGTGTCCTGAGAGTATGACAATTGCATCATAATGAGCTAGCAAGCTGCCCAGAGGCTGCACTTCAAGCCCGGCCGAGGCTGAAATTAGCGGCTGATTTACGCGCTCCCCGAGTCCTGGGCGGCGCCTGATGCAGAGTCGGGCCCGCACCCAGATTTTACCGCTCTTATGTCATCAGGTGACAAGCCCCCACCTGGACAGAAAACTCCCCCTTGGTGGCGTAGGTCTGGAGGAGGGCACGCCCCAGGCCCCTCCCCGTGAGGAACTCCCACAGGGTCTGCTCGTCCTTAAAGAAGCTCCGCACCGTCGACTTGCTCCCGAAGGAGGCGAGGGCTTCGTCCACAGCTGAGGGGGAGGGCGTTGGCTCTGCCTGCCGGGGTAGAACAAGTCAGTGGGAGGGACGAAGTCGAGCAATAGACAGTGATGGACAATATAGACACTGATGGACAATATAGACAGTGATAGACAATATAGACACTGATAGACAATATAGATAGGCACAAAGTCGAGCAGTAGACAATAGACACTGATTGGAGAGCTGTGTCTCTTCCTGAGTTGGGGTCATATAGCACGGAGAAAAGCAAAGTCTAGCAAATTTAGTTTCGTGGGATTTGGTTTAGTTTTGATATTTCAGTAATTATATGAGCGACATGTTTGCAGCTGGTCAGACATTTAGCAGTTGATAAAATACACGCGTTGTGTCCAGATGGTGCAAGAAACCAACTGTCTCGCTGGCCCCCAGATTGAGTAAAAAAACCGCAAAGATTGAGCAAAGGTCCCTCCTGATGGAGCAAAGGTCCCTCCTGATGGAGCAAAGGACCCCAAACTTGAGTAAAGGTCTCTCCAAATGGGGCCAAGACCCTCCCAGATTCATTAATGAACTCTCCTCAGATCGAGCAAAAGACACCCCAAATCGAGCAAAGACCCAAAGATTGAGCAAGGGACCCTCCAGATTCAGCAAAGGACCCCTTAGATTGAGAAAAAGAGTACCAAATTCTGTAAAGAACCCCTCTCCATATCGAGCAAAGGCTTCCGAGATCGAGCAAAGGACCCCGAGGACGTGGAGCAGAGGAAGGACCTGGTCAAAGGACGAGGTGGAGTCCGCGGCGTCGGGGGCGGCAGCGTTCCTAAGGATGTAGTTCCTGATCTTGGTGCGATGTCCTATGATGGGGCAGATCTCCCTGAGGTCCTCAGGAGACATGGTGGAGATGACCTCCTTGTCGATGCTCTGCCGCAGGAACTCCGGCAGGAGGTACTGCAGCTTCAGCTCCTCCAGCATCCGCGTGATGAACGAGTCCCCGCGGGGCGTCCTGCGTCGGGGGGCGCCGCCCTCCGCCTGGGGGAGAGGGGCAGTTAGAGGGGGACACTCAAGCCACTCGTGCCAGTCGGGGACACTCACGCCACTCACCCCAGACGGGGAGACTCACGCCACTCACCCCAGTCGGGGACACTCACGCCACTCACGCCAGACGAGGACACTCACCCCAGACGAGGACACTCACGCCACTCACCCCAGACGAGGACACTCATGCCACTCACCCCAGACGAGGACACTCATGCCACTCACCCCAGACGGGGACACTCACGCCACTCACCCCAGACGAGGACACTCACGCCACTCACCCCAGACGAGACACTCACGCCACTCACCCCAGACGGGGGTGACAGGAAGTGGGGGTAGGGCCAGTCATCAGGATCTTCATGGGTTCCCCTGCGCGGCAGCTCCCTCCGGCTGGGGGGCCTCTTCTTGACGACCTTCTTGAGCTGCTGGGAGGGCTTGGGGGCATCCAGGTCCTCCCCAGCGTACCTCCTGAGGAGGCGCTTCACGTTACGGTACCGCTGGACCAATTTTCCCCCACACATTTTCCTCAGTGGAGTAGGAGCAAGGTAATAATGTTCTTTGCCCTCAGAGGGAAATTCTTTGACGATCTCGTCGGCGAGACCTGAGAAAAGTTCGCTTCTCATCGCAAAATGTCGTTCATAAACACCATCCACGATTATCCTGGTGAGTTTACAGCGTTCACCGTTCTCGAAGGATCCTTTACGGTTATAGGACTCCATTAGTACACGTCCTACGTTACTGGCACGAAGAAACTCCCCCAGCGTCAGCTCTCCGTTGAAAAAGGTCTTGTCAGTCGAACGGAACCCCACAGGTTTCAAGTCCCCAGGGGCACCACCTTCGTTTTTTTTAGAGGATGATGAGGACCTAGAGGACGACGAAGGTTCAGGCCTCCTGGTGGCGAGGTACTCGCAGATCTTGGTCCGGTGCTCGTAGGAGGGACATAGGACTCTGAGGTCCTCCTGCGACATGAGGCTCATGACTTCGCGGTCGATGTTCTGGCAGGAGAAAGTGTCTGATAAATACTCCAGCCGTAAGTCCCGTAGCATCTGCTGGATGTAGGGGTCGCAGCCGTACTGCCTCTGTAACAAACATGAAGGTTACATACAGACACCTTACATCATCATATCATTCATATGTAAATAATATTACAGCTGTAACATGTAACAGTAGAGCTCTAGCATGTTACTTGTACAGCATGTAGCATAGTACAGTAATACTGCCTCTGTAACAGAAATGACAGTAATAGTTACATCCAGACAGGTAACGCTGTCATATGTAACAAACGTTACGGCTGTATCATGTAACACAGTACAGCTGTAGCATCGTACTGTAGTACTGCCTCTGCAACATAAATGAAAGACCGTCATCCAGATCGTCCCATGTAACAAACGCTGCAGCTATAGCTCGTAACACTGCAATACAACACTGTCACACTGAAAACAGACACGCAAATATCTAATATTATCAAATGCCTAATATTATCAAATTTCTGATATTATCAACTACCTAATTTTATCAAATATCTAATATTGACAAATATCTAATATATATACATCTATCACAAAAAAGAATAATTTTTAGGGTAAATTATCATTTTGAAGTTAAGAATATAATCATAAAACTAAAGGTAATAACTCACCCCCTCGGAGGAGGAGGAAGGGGTGTTGGTGGAGGTGGGGGGTGTGGTGTGGTTGTTGTGGTTGCCGCTGGTCTCATCATTGGAGCTGGGCGATCCAGCGTAGCTGGGGTCAGCCCCTCCACTGGAGGGGTTATGGTCCCCTCCACTAGAAGGGTTATGGTCCCCTCCACTGGAGGAGTTCAGGTCCCCTACCCCTCCACTAGAGGGGTCACCACCTCCACTGCATGAGGAGTTCAGCTCCCCTCCACCAGCAGCGCCGTTCCCCTGGTCACAGGAGCTGGTGTGGCCGCCCTTTGTACCGTCATGGCCGCCCTTTGCACCCTCATGCCCACAGGTCTTCCTGGGCTTGCCCTTATACTTGAGGAAGAAGCGGCGCTGGTTCTTGAAGCGGTCGACGAGCTTGCCGGCGCCAGCGCGGCGGTCGGGGGACGGTGCGATGTAGTAGCTCGCCTTCACCTCCGTCGGGAACAGCCGCACCACCTCGTCTGCCACGTCCTCCAGCATCGGGATCTTGAACACCTGCATCGTTATCAATAGTTTAATTAGTTTTACATATATTGTTTGGTGGTAAATATAATTAACACCTGCATCGTTAACAATAGTCAATAATAGATGTGTTTACATGTATTGTTTGGTGGTAAACACAAGTAACACCTGCATTGTTAACAATAGTTTTTATATGTATTGTTTGGTGGTGAACACAATTAACACTTGCACCATAACAATATTCAAACAGTTTTAGGCAACAAATGAGTTGATATAAAAATAAATTCTCAAGAATTATATGGCTAACCAAGGAGAGTGTGTGGGAGTCCTACACCCTGTTACCCACCAGGGGGGAGTCCAGCAGACCATCCACAATAAGGTGGGTGAGTTTGGCTCGCTCCCGATGATCAAAACTTTTCTTGTTCTCATAGGACTGCAGGAGAAGACGTCCTATTTCCGACGACGATAGGATCTCGAGTAGACTTTTATTATCCTTAAAAAACCTGAAGGCGGAGGACTTGGCCCTTTTGACGGGAGGCTGCATGTCGCTACTGAACACCTCATGGGAGATATGCGGGAGACTCATGGCCATGTAGGCGCTTGAAAGACTCCCACTCTCAGGTGACACACACCCGATGGGGGATGTGGGTGTATCGTACTTAGTGAGATAGTTGCGTATCTTGATACGGTGGCCGACGCTAGGGCACACTTCCTTGAGCTCCTCCGAGGACATGAAGGATACCGTCTCCCTGTCTATGTTGTTGTTGGCGAAGGCGTCCATGAGATGGTCCAGCTGCAGAGTCGTCAGCATCTTCTCGATGAAGGGATCCCTCGTCACCACCTGCACCGCCATCATCGACCCCACCTGCCCACACAGCTGGCTCAGTACATGTGTAACCATCTGGCATGACAGCCCACCTACACACACAGCTGGCTCAGTACACGTGTAACCATCTGGCATGACAGCCCACCTGCCCACACAGCTGGCTCAGTACATGTGTAACCATCTGGCATGACAGCCCACCTGCCTACACAGCTGGTTCAGTACATGTGTAACCATCTGGCATGACAGCCCATGCCCACACAGCTGGCTCAGTACATGTGTAACCATCTGGCTTAGTACACGTATAACTACCAGGTGCAATGTAATACATAATGCGCTATGGTAATAAATAAATTGGTAATCACAAGAAATACTAGGGAGACTTCAGCTAAACAACAGAGTTTAATTGTAAGTAATAATTAATAAAAATTATCGTTATTAATTAGAATTTTAACAGAGGTTAATCGTAATAAAATTAATCATAAAGACTAACATCAAATTGGGAGCATGCAGCCCTGAGGGGAGTTCTCACCTTGGTTGTGTCGTCAGGCTGCTCCTCCCCAAGGTAGGCCCTCAGCAGGTCGTCTACGGGCACCTCCCGCTTGAGGTTGGCAGCGCCTGCAGCAGCAGCAGCTGGAGGGGCGGTGCCCCTAGCTGGGTCCTGTGGGGGGACACTGTGACGGGGGTCACGCTCCCCCCCGGTAGCACTGGACTCACTAGTGGGGGGCTGGGCAACTGTGGGGGCAGCTGGATGCCTGATGTCTGAATCAGCCCTCAGCTGCTGTTGTTGCTGTTGCTGCTGCTGTTGTTGTTGGTCCTGTATTACAAGCGCTGTGTTGGGACGCAAGTCGATGCCCGAGTTGTGTCGTGGGTCATGCCCTCCGGAGGGCGTGGTGTTGTGTCCCACAGAAGGAGCAGTACTGTGGTCCCCCAAGGCCCCCATGCCATGGTGGTCAGGTCTGATGGCAAGACGTTGCTCACATGAAGGAGAGGACGTCACTTCAGGGCGCGAGGGAGCGGCGGCTGTGGAGCGTTGGTCGAACCCACCCAAGTGCATCTCGCTGCGACCCACCAGACCCCGCTGGTCATTGCCTGTCACCTGGGGCATCCCACCTGTCAAAAAGTGGGTTCATTAGAGTACAATTTAGGAATTAATTTTAGTCTAACTCTCTTCGGTAATTGTGAACAAGCAGTAAAATGACTATACATCAAAGTAGCATCAAGTCTAGCACTTAAAGCTGACAATCAACAGCTTAATGGGGTAATAGGAATGTTATATTATTATACTTAAATCAAATTAACATTATGCAATGAATATAACAGACTTGATGCCTAGAAACAAGTTACCTCATCATATGAACAAAGAAGGCAAACTCTGGCCTCCTCACCTGCCACGGTGCGTGGAGCTCCAACAGCTCCTCCTTGGGGAACACTGCTTGCTCCATTGAACAGTCCTCCCCCTGCTCCAGGGAACATTCCCCCACCAGCTCCAGGGAAGACACCTCCTCCCCCTGTGGGGAAGACCCCTGGCCCTCCAAACCCAAAAAATGCTTGATACATTGTAGGATCTTAAGGAGAGGCTCAGAAAGTGTGTACTTGAGATGTGACTTTGTGGATCTGGCAGCTCAATAATTCTTTGAAGGTAGATGTCACTGAATGGGCTCAGTTGACAGAAGCTCAGTTGACAGAAGACTTTGACAGAAGCTTCAAGTTAATATTGAAGCTAGAGATTAAGTCACTCTTAATGCCAAGAATCTCGGAGATGAACTATATCCTTGGTGCCCCATCACAGTACACTTATATCTATTCATAAGAAATTGTGACAACAACTGAGTTACACCAACAGTGTTAAGAGTGATACAACAATTGTTGATGCATAATGTGTGCTCTGGAGATGTGGCTGTGCCGTCCGATGGTTGAACGTAACATGAACACGGATCTACTGAATGTGTAAGAAACTCCTGAATTGTTCACTTTGCATCATGAAGGCCTGATGAAGAAAAAATATATATATAAAATTTCATGAAGGATATGTATATAACTTCATGAAGGATGTACATATAACTGGCTAGAGTATCCAGAATTCTGAAATAGTCAACACACTTAGAAGTTACATGGGTAGAACTGCTGACCAAAAAGCAGTTTTAGGCATAGAAAGTATAGAAAACCTACAAATTTTTATAATCATAATGTAGCATATTATCACCAGTTACTAAATAGCAATCAAAGCATAGCATGCTAATGATATTATCAATTGTTACCTTGAAAATAAAAATGAGTTTCTATATCCAACTTCAAAAAGTTTTTAATTGAAGAATAATTTATTTTAATTCAACAATCATTTATTGTAAATAATTTAATTTATTATCTGCTAACAAAAATAATTAGGAACAGAAAAATTACTTATATTTTTTCAATTTCTTCATGAACATCTGAATCCTGATGAGGTTTTTCTTAAACATTTTTCTATCCTAACTGGAAAATTTGGCCAAATAGGCTTACGCACAACGGCACAAGAATTGGACAAAAATGCCTGTGAATCTGGCCAATTTTGACCATTCCGAATGGGTCCATTCCTAATTTCCAAGGTCTTTTTCCCAATTTCTTCTATGAAAAATTAGGGAAACCGTTTGTTTTTATCCAAGATTTTTACAAAAATAACTCATGAAATGATCATTTTCATCTGTCATTTTAGGAAACTTCTGCCCATTAATACAAATTAGATTCACTTTGATCCAAGGCTTCCAAGCTCTTTTGTTGCCAGGACCATCCCAAGAATTAAGAAGGCAAGGCATATCCCCAACATATGCCATTATTTCTACTGCACCCAACCATCTGCCTTCTCAACCAAAAAATCATAAGTAAGAATAGGCTATTACTTAACTTATAGTTTTATATAATTTTTTACTGAATAAGTAGAAAAATGATATAAGAACAGATGAAATTGGCATGATTAACATGAATTTTTGTTCAATTTACAGGGGGCTTTTACCCAATTTTGCACTTTGGAGTTTGGTTCATAGCTACTCTTTTAGAACTTTTATTCCTATCAATGCAATAAAAGCCTGAATTGAACTCTGAGTCTGAAGCAACTTGCAAGTTGCAACTTAGCAAGCATGAGAAATTTGAGAATCAATCTGAATCTGATAAGAACCTAAAAACTACACCTGAATCAACTATTGAACTGTCCGTCCTTCGCTTCTTTTTCATTTCTATGTTGCGTTGCTTCTGTGATCAAGTGTATTATTATTTATAGATATATTGACAACAATATGCCTAAGCGCCAAGCCGAGCGTCTCTAAGCTCCATTGTTTCGTTGCACCTGGGCTATTGGAATGGCTCGCTGCTGTCAAAAAGCACATACGAGTGTTATTTGTAGCATTAAGGTACTATATAGGGTTAAGTAAACAAAATACAAACAATTTACATCGTTCGATTTGTCTGCATTAGTCAAAATAGACCGAATCAAGGTAATAACAACAAATGCGAATCCAATATGACGATGTGGTACTGTTGAAGAAAGTTACTACGCTGCGAATAAGGTATTATATTGCAACCTAGAAAGACATTCGTCATTTCAATTATTTTAAGCCTACAAATACTCCTAATGATTTCGATTAATACGATGTTTTGAAACATTGAACTAAGAAATATTTTACCTCATCATTTAATACAGCCATTCACGCGAAGAAGCATACTTTTAACACATTCGGAGAACATTCGTTATTTTCATCTTCTTAAAGTGGTCATAAACTAACAGATATTGTTTTTCTTTAAAAAAATTCTGGATAGTGAGAAATATTTCGTCAATTTGCCGAGATATAAAAGAAATAAGCGTCCGATGCTGAAATTTTATTGAAACACGCGAACTATCTCTATAACTAACAAATGCGTGCGAGCTTATCTTGGACATAAACAAATAAAATTCACGGATTAAATCGGGTCCATTCAAACAATTCTGACATACAGAAGTTGGTATTAACTTATTATGAGCAACATAATTACAATTGGAGATACCCATAGTCAGATCACAAAGTAAATTTTACTCAGTTCATTAATGAATGGTTTTAGTTAGCAAAATAATTTCAAATATATTATAATAATTTAGAATTTAACATATATAATAAAAAATATAACTCGGTACTCACTGCAGTGCGTGACAGAGAGCGCATTTTCTCGTCGACGAAAACGTGAAGTCACGGACGGCCAAAGGAGATGGCGAGCACAATAGTGAATTTTTTTTTAATAAATGAGAGAAAATGCGCTAAAAAGGCCATGGTTATTTCTAGCGCCAGTTTTCTGTAGGACGACCATTAACATAGAAAGATAAAGTTTGCGCATAAATTTTCGTAGCGATTAAATTTTTTAATGCCCAAACCTTTCCAATTGCACAATATAACCGGTAACTCTAGCATTTTAATAAAAATTTTGAATAAAAAATGACAACTGACATTCAGCGACCTCTTCAAAGGCAAAGGCAGGGTGGCCCAGTGGTTACAGTTCAGAGTACCAAGATTGGCGCAGAGAGGCGCGGGTTCGATCCCAGCTCTGTGCGCCAGTTTCTGGTCAGAATCGGCAAGGAGGCCGGGCGGTTAAGCACAGCAGAATTGTAGCAGCGAGTTGCGAGTTCGAGACCGCAAAATGCTGTGGATGTTCTGCGATGTTAAGAATCGGCGACAGGCCTACGGCCTAATAAACGCTGAAACCGCTATTATTATTATTATTACACTGACGAAACCTAAACCATCCGACAAATGCTACTGTGCCAACACAAGGAAATGGTGGCAGTTTGCTCTACTAATGAAGGAAGTGATAGAAAGGTGACACACTACAAGCATAAGAATTTATTACAACACTCGATTCCAATAATCAATATTATTGTGAAATTATCACTATATTAAACTTAATACGTGGAATAACGTTACCCCAGCTCCGCGAGACACAGAAATGTATTCCAGGTTACAGTAAATCGAGAGCATACGGCCCCTTATACATAGCTTATTGACATCGACCAGTGATCACATCTGGCAACCTCATCAGCATATGAACAATTTGAACATACAATCCCATGCTGACAATCCAAAAATAGACAATCGTCTTAATTGAAGTGATTATTCAGGGGAGACCGGGCACAAACACACAGAGGACTTCACAGGAAGGAACATCAGGTGTAGGTTACACTGATCTACGCGAAATCAACCCGCATTGTGGCTACACCGTGTAGCGTGTAGCCACAATGCGGGTTGCTCTCGCGTAGATCATAGATAACGTATCTCCATGAATGGCAACAGCTTATAGGTACTTCCCGCATAACAATCCTAAGCGTTACTTAGAAGTAACCTGCACCACTCGCGGAGTGGCAACCAAGCGTTACTTATAAGTAACCTGCACCACTCGCGGAGTGGCAACCAAGCGTTACTTAGAAGTAACCTGCACCACTCGTGGAGTGACAACACAAGCGTTCCTTAGGAGTAACCTGCACCACTCGCGGAGTGACTACACAAGTGTTACTTAGAAGTAACATACACCACTCAAGGAGTGACTACACAAGCGTAACTTAGCAGTAAACTGCACCACTCGTGGGCTGACCCCAAGGGCGAATGTTAAGAAGTAGCATTTAAGACTGAGGGAACGGCTTGTAAATATTATTCTCAGCTGACGAGGTCCTTCAAGAGTGGTTCTGCTATAGTAGAACAACGTGGAAGATTCAAATCATTCAAAGCGTCGTAAAAATTACAGTGGTTTTCTAGCAGACCAATCGCTAGGCATTTGCTAGAGTACATGAAGAGTCTCAAGAACTCTCGAGGTAACTTAACTCTCGAGGCAACTTGTACGGAACTATAGAGAAGTACACAGCATTCACGTGTTGACTGGAGTGAATTAATACAGCAAAATACACAATTTGTAGGGCCCCTCCCTCATAACGCACCGCTGTCCAGAAGGGCTTCTATGCTTTCTTCAAGGCGTACATGGAATCCTATGAACATATTTTACAGCTTCGCAGATGAAGAAAGTGCTCAGAGAAACTTCAATAAGGGGCACTATAATCCAAGTAACTATGGATTAAATATAACTTTCTAAACTGAAGTCAACTTCAGAATTGTTACGATTTCCTATCACAGTGAGCGTAAACGTTCAATAGTCCATATTCAGGCAAGGAGAATCCAGATTCAGGCAAATTTTACCAGAAGGAGAGTCCATAATCGGACAATAAAATCTAGATTAATGCAAGGAGAGTCCAGATTCAGGTGAGAAAAGTTTGGATTCAGCAAAATAATGTCTAGATTCAGGTAAGTAGAGTTTCTAGTCTAGTTTCAGGCAAACTTTACCAGATGGAGAGTTCATAATCGGACAAGAAAAATTTGAATTAAAACAAAAAGAAGTCCAAATTCAGATAACGTATAATGATACACGCTAATTGCTATTGCCGGCGTATTAACGTATAATGATACACGCTAATTGCTGTTAACATTTATCATGCTCAGTTGGTGTTAACCAACAATGACATAATTCAAGCACAAAAAACAGTACAATTTAAGACGAAAGTATCCTCGTATTTTCTCCATTCACGCCTCCAGCTTCTCAACGTACACACGCTTCATATTTTCCTTCGGCGCCCCCTTCGGCCCGGGCCCTAGTCCACGGTGTCCTCGGTCTTGGCGGGGGCCTCATACACAGGCTCCTGGTCGTCCCCCTCGTCAGGAGGGGCGGCGAGGCCCGTAGTCTTGTCGGTGGCGCCGCCCTCGGGGACCCAGAGGCCTGAGGCGACGCAGCGCTTCATGTGGTGGGCGGCGACCGCAGGGTCCATCGCTGCTATGACCGACTTTAGCTGCCCCACGTCCTGCGACTCGAAGCACGCACGCAGCTCCTGCGGGAGGAGGGTGAGTTAGGGCACTGAGGGAGGGGGGTGAGTTAGGGTACTGAGGGAGGAGGGTGTGTTAGGGTGCTGAGGGAGGAGGGTGTGTTAGGGTGCTGAGGGAAGGGGTGAGTTAGGGTGCTGAGGGAGGGGGGTGAGTTAGGTGGCTGGGGGAGTGGGTGTTAGGGTGCTGAGGGAGGGGGTGTGTTAGGGTGCTGAGGAAGGGGGTGTGTTAGGGTACTGAGGGAGGGGGATATGTTCTGGTACTGAGGGAAGGGGGTGAGTTAAGGGAACTAAGGTGAGGGGTAAGGGTGCTGAGGGAGGGGGCGTGTTAGGGTACTGAGGGAAAAGGGTGTGTTAAGGGAACTGAGGTGAGGGGTAAGGGTGCTGAGGGAGGAGGTGTGTCAGGTGGCTGAGGGAGGGGAC